AAAATGTCATTTATCAATAAATTCACATAATGACCTACCGAGCTTTTGCGGCACCATTTAGCGTTGGGCTATCGGCATGAAAATTTACACACGTTATTTGCACACCATTCCGGGGTAAGAGCGAAAAAATTTCAACTTTTGTGTTTTGGAGGCCAGTGATAAAAGCAAAATTTGAAACACAAAATTTCTGATATAAATTTTGTGACGAAAATAGTCGGTAGATATTTTTTCTGTATACTGTGAATAAAAACTACAATGTTGTTTTATATCATTTGTAACTATCAAATCGAGTAAATTTGATACAATACACTGAAGAGTAACATTGCGGTAATTTTCAACTTAGTTTGTTTGTGTCACCGTTCTTATAAACTGGTCTGACAAATTACATTTTCCATATCTATGGAACCGAATCAGTTTCAAGAAGTTTTTTTAACAGTGGTGTGATTGGTCCCTGCAATGAAATTCAATAATGTTTGACACCCTCGATTCCAAAAGTTCCGGAACTTTTTAAAAATATTGGATACCAGTGGCGCCACCATATATGCTTTAGAAAGGTGGAGTTCCCATTGACATTGTGTAAAAGTATCGTAAAGATCGGATGTAAACATGTCAAGGTATTGCGTCTTATTTTTTAGTATCTTTTGCTCTCGGTGACAAAATGAATTTCAAACGTAAAATAATCAACTTTTGTGATAAATTTTGAAAGTTTTAACGAATTAGATATTTCAAAAACCATTTTATTATGATTGCTCATACTGTATATAAGCTAGAAAAACTAAGACACGAGATCCTATATCGATACATGCTTCGTATATCGAAATCTTTAGGAAAAGTCAAATTTTCAGGATATTCTCATTTTGTGGACCAATTTTCTGTGAATTTCGTGGAACCCATCATCGAATCTTTTGCTCTGATGAGCCTAATATTAACTGAGGACCTATATATTGAATAATCCATAACGATTATTGCAGATAGTCAGATGTATAGTGTCTCTAGAACATGAAATAGACAGTAAGTCACTTTTTCACGATATTGCATTTGCTCATTTTCAGTCATTTGTCAACAAAAAACTAAAATGTCCATTGCATAATTCTCCATTTTCATTTCATATATCTCGAATCATGATATATCTAAAAATTATCCTCTTTCCAACCAGTGCATTTGCTGATGAGAACCAATCGATACAAAAATTCTGTGTTCAATTTCCGACCGTTACCGATGACGCAAACATAATAACACATTCGACGCAATAACTTAGCTGTCAGTGATCCGATCCTTATGAAACTTGGACATGATATCAGTGGGGCAAGTACCTTACTAACGCATATAATATCCACTGGTATCTATTATTTTTAAAAAGTTCCGGAACTTTTAAAATGGAGGGTGGAAGAATTTGTTTGGAATTTCATCTGGACCACAGTTCAGATCATCAGGAAGAATCTTTAAATGTTGCTCCTCAGTCAAATCAATCGTTAATATTTCAGCACATGTTCTCAATCTCATTGCTATCATATCGCAGATCGCCATCAAAAGCTTTCACTTCCGAGTTATTTGGACCCCCAACCAATGGTGCCAATCGATAGAGGACTAAAAAGTACCCTAGGTAGGAGCGAAGTTTCATGTAGTGTTTTACATCTTGACACTGAAATGGAAGTCTGTATATATTTTGGGGGTAAAAAAATAAACATGGCCCCCCAAAAAGAGGGAAGGGGGGGTCGGATGAAAAAATTAATGATGCAAATCGATAGAGCGCCCCAAAATTACCCTAGAAATGTCAATCTCCTTGGTTCAATCATATATTCGATACCCAAACTGAAATTGAGTAAATTTTCGGTTTTGAGCCAATAAAAATACAGAGGCTTACGTACGCAAGCTGACTTTTCCGCATGAAACCGAAATTTTGGGAATAAACTTAAATTATGGTCTTTGTATGGTTGGAGTAACTTAAATTACCGTGAAAACTTGTGAATATTATTTTTTATTAAAATAAATAATCATACAAGTTTGAAGAAATTTCAATAAAAAAAAATAGCCTTTTCAAAGTTTCACATCATTACGGTACCACAAAGGCATGTCTTTCATACAAATGAAATTTTTTGTGGATTTTTGTATGAAAAGTCTGTGAAAAATTGATTGCATCTTAAAACTTACATGAGATTCGGGTTTCTCGTGCCAAAAAACCCCCACTACACATTCTGTCAGCGTTCAAATTGAAAGAATATAATTTTAATGCATTTTTCTCATAAGTGCCTCTTCAGAGTCTAAGTTTTACACCGATCAATCAATGTCGTTGAAAATTTGACCAGATCTATTCTCCTTAACGGGCATCATCCCGTAAAGTCAGATTTTGAATTTCATGTCTGAGCACAAAACCATCGTGTCACCAAAATGGTTGAAAAGAACAACATAGCACCAGGAACTGACAGCATATCAACAGAGCATTTAAAGCCAACTTCGTGATGAGGAAGCCGGATTCAGAACAAACCAAGAGTGCATCGATCGATCGAACACACAACGGCTCATAGAACAATCAAACGAATTCCAGTCAACGCTCTATGTAATGTTCATGGACTTTGAAAAACCATTCGATCGAGTCAACAGGAAAGAGATATAAAAGGCGCTGGTGAGATGGGGCATCTCTTTCAAAATCATCAGAGTAATTAGAGCTTTTTACTCTGGAGCGTAATGTAGTGTACTGCACAACGGAGTGAAGAGTTCGAAGTACGGACATCAATAATGCCGCATATGGACAGCTACGCGCAACATGGAACACAAGAAAAATTGCTACCAGCACGAAACTGCGAAATTACAAGTAACGTGTACTTGCGATCCTCTTGTAATGGCAGTGAAATGTAGAGCTATAAAGAACGGTTATTGTCATATAGATGTGCCAAGTCCGATATGTTAATACATTTTGTATTATGATAATATTTATTAGGATGCTATTAACTATTAACAACCAATCATACTACGCATATTAACATGAGTAGTAGTATTAGGATCGATGTTAATAGCGAGTAGTAGTATGTTTATTATCTATTAAGATGCCAAAGTTAATACGCGCCATTTGCAATTTTTCGTAAACAAACAATATTTTGACCGATTCAATTTTTATTACATTTTTTTCTTATTTGTAATTTTTATTGATTTTTTTAATTTTTTATGAATTTTATTGGAATTTATTATTTATTAGAAAATTATTTTCGATTTTTTAAGAAGAAATTTATTTTGTTTTTGTTCGGTAAACAACGATTTATACAAACTGTGGTTCGTACGTCACAGCTATGCTTAACATACAGAATTGACAAAATGCACCTTACGTCAAACGTAAAAAAGAGCGCGTTCAATACTTCATGTCATTAGAGAACCACTTGAAAAGAATAAAATCAATATACTATTATTATTTATTCATTTTTTCTTCTTAAAAAAAAAACGAAAATAATTTTCTAATAAATAATAAATTCCAATAAAATTCATAAAAAATTAAAATATTCAATAAAAATTACAAATAAGAAAAAAATGTGATAAAAATTGAATCGGTCAAAATATTGTTTGTTTACGAAAAATTGCAAATGGCGCGTATTAACTTCGGCATCTCAATAGATAATAAACATACTACTACTCGCTATTAACATCGATCCTAATACTACTACTCATGTTAATATGCGTAGTATGATTGGTTGTTAATAGTTAATAAAGGATTTTTCGTATTTAGTAATAAGATATGTTAATATTTCTGTGTTAATAGGACATCTATATATTGTCAAGTGCTTAAGTATTTGTCAACAAGTGCCTCCGCAGAATATACTGGCCAAATACCATCTTTAACAGCCAACTGTACCAAGAAACTCATTGTGAGCCACCTGATCAATTGATAAAGAAGAAGAAAAGTTGGTTCGGACATACAATTGTAATGTAATTAAAGAAACAACGCAGATTTGTTTGTTGTTAGAACAGAATGTTTAATATGTGTTTATTCAATGATCGGTGAACATCGACTGAATGTATTATTTGATTGTCCGAGAATGAATGTGACAGTCAGCATTTTTTTGCTGACAGTCAGCATTTTTTGTATGGTGGTGTTACATTTCAATAAACTCTCACGAGAAGATTCACATTCATTCTCGGACATTCATTTTCAAATGGACGTTTGGTGTGTGACGGCGGGTCCTGATTATGACCACTAGGCGGCGCGTCACACACTTACAATAGTCCGTTAAACACTACACACTAAGAAAGCTACACGATTCAATATGCCGTCAAGCACTAGACTGGAATCCACAAGGCAACATATGAAGAGGCCGACCAAAACAGACTTAGAGAAGATTAATTGAAAATGAGCTAGTCGAAGCTGAGATCACATGGAATGAAGCTAAGACCACAGCCAGTAATCGTAGAAGAGGGGAGCCTTATCGGAGGCCCTATGCTCCACAAGTAGTTAAATAAGAATACATTTGGGAATTACCCTTTACAAATTGAGAAAAATATTCTTTCGATTTGCTAGGGATTTTCGCGAAAAAAATAAAGGACTTTATTCAGCTCTTCACTTTCAGAAGCGGGAGAAAATATTCAATTTTGCTAGGGTATTTTGGCGAAGAGAAAAATCTTTTAATTTTCTAGGGTTTTTCGAGCCAATTTCTCTGAGACAACCACACATTTTGAAATTACCTTCATTGGATCGAAAGAACAAATTTCTATCTTAAATCAAATTCAATGCTTTCTGTAATTTTGACTAGAAAAACATTAAATCCAACCAATTTTTGCTTTTTCATACATGGGATTAGTGAATCCATGTGAATCTATTACTAACGATTAATTTTTTTTTGTCTAGAAAGACTTTTTTAAAAATTCCATAAAAAAATATAATATTGAATATATTATTCAATATTATTATTATTATATATTCAATATATAAATTGACTCGTAGATATAATGCAATAGTATCTCAAAGAAATTTCATGAAAAAGGATAGAAAAATATATTTTTTTCATTCTTTATAGATTGTATTTCTTTTGGTTTGTTTTGTGTTGTCACACGAAACATACGCTCAAACTAGAGGTCGTAGTCGAGTTGAAACTAGCTCACAACAAATCCGAGACGACATAGACGAAAATGGTGACTACGATGAAGATAATGCGTCAGATAATTTACAATATTACAGAACATCATCAGGAAAAGATGAACAAAATCGGGTAGTTTTGGTAGCTGCTGATGATGAATACAATGGTTTGTATGGTCATCCGACACCACCAATAAAATCTCGCAACGATTTCAATCGTCCAGTACTCAAAACGACGTCTAATGCAGTTCGTACTAAAGATGTATCTTCAAAAGAAACAGTTCAAACAATTCGGAACTACAGTAAAGTAAATGATGATGGTTCTTTCACTTTTGGTGAGTAGCTTTCATATATATTTGATATTTAGTGGTCTGGTGCGGAGCATATGACCTACTTAGATTTTTGTACGGAAAGTGCATCCAAATTTGATCGTTTATCAAAATAAGTAAAAAACACTTCTTTGGAAGTTCTCACTGTGACGCAATACTGCACATCAAATCTGAAAATGATCTGATATAAATTTTCAGTGACGCTTGCAATCAAATACACAAACAATTTTTATATTGCGTTGCCTCTCTCATTCTTAGAAAATTAAAAATGAAAATTTCATTGTGATAATGCCCAAGAGGCAACGCAATATAAAAACTTTGAAATCTACAAAATCGCTCGCTACGCTCGCCCCAATTTTATATATTCCTTTATTGTATTCATATATTGATATTCATCACATTGGAAATCATGAATATTTATATTAATCGATTTCTTGCAATGCACGCAAATTTTGTTTTGCTTTCTGCCATATTTGTTTTTACATTGAATTAGAGTTTTATGTTTGCTCTCGAATCATTTAATTCGACAGGATATGAAGCAGCTGATGGTAGTTTTAAAGAGGAAACTAGAGGTACAGATTGTGTTGTCCGTGGTAAATATGGTAAGTATTATATTATATATTATATATGTAGGTAAATATGGTATATATAATACACAACAACAGGGTGTCTCATATGAGTTGCAATATCGGAAATGTACTGAAAACTACTTAGAAAAACACGATTGGAGCCAAAAAAATTTGGTTTACAAGTCAAAATTTCGAAAAAAGTGAAGAAAAAAGATCAATGTTCATGTCTCCTGAACCAAAAGTGACCCCTCAAATCTAACAAAGTCGATTTTACACTTTTTTCGTCCAAAATTTGTTAAAAAAGGTGGATGAGAAAAATATCGATTCTAAGGCAATTTTTCATGCTGATTCCGAATTTCGGAGTTTGAGGTCAAAAAAATCATATCTTGGGGGTTTTTGACCCCCCGACCCCCTTAAGGGGTGGGGGGACTTGGAGGGCAGGGCTCCGTAAAAATTTCTCTCGTCATTCTGAACAACTTTGTAGTACATTATTTTTTGATCCGATGCACTTTTGGAAAATTTGGGACTTCCCCATCCCCCCTGGGGAAAAATTAAAAATTCTGCTCAGATAGAAATTTTCTATTTTTTACCCCCAACATACCCCCCAAAGGGTTTTTCAAAATTCTCACCCCCTAAGAGTGAGCCTATTATATGCGCCACCCTGTAGATAAATAACATAACAGGCGGGCTGAAAAGTTCGTATCGTTTCTAAGAAAGGGCGCTACCATAACAAAATCCATTATGTTTCTGGAAAGTACCATCCTTTCAAGGCATACATACGAAATTTGAGCCATATCCGTCCACTGAGTCAGAAATTATATCACTTGAAAGAACATAACCTCAAAATACACTTAAATTCTCAATTTTATGGCTTTATTCGAAAGAGGAGTCATTGTTTTTAAACTATTTTTCAACCCAGGACGCAGATATAAGTCCCCCCAAGCTAAATTCGAAATAACGAATCGATTTGTATCAAAACTAATCAAATGCTGACATCATCTGCATGACTTCCCGAGATGGCTTTTCACTGAAATTCTGAAAGCTTACATTTTCACAAAAAACACCGGATCATCTTTGTCCAAAAATGTCAAAATTGACATGTATTATTCTTTTGGCATTGTCGCATCTCATCCAAGATGATAAAACGCTATTTTGAACAACGCAGTACTAAATAGTGGCAAGGAATACGAGATAAGGTCAAAAACTCAGATTTTGTGACTTTTCGTCGTTACGTTGATTTTTGGTGACCAGTTGGAATTCAAATTTCCTCAAAATGTATTCCATGGGTTTTGTAAGACATTAATAGTTACCATTCAGTAAAAATATTTACTGGAATAATGCTTAAAACCCACTTTAGATCGCTTCAAAGTTGCCAATCGATTCCATTTGTTGTCATTTTGAGAAAATGCGGCACTCTTTGTTTGAATGAATTTTTTTTACACAAATTTTGGAGTAATGTATTGAAATAAGTATTCTACAAGATGTTTGCGATCCATTCTTCAGTATTCACTAAAAAACAGCCATCCTTCGGGGCAATTTCTTAGATTTTTTCAAGCATCTCTTCGAAGACCCGTACTTTTAAGGCAAATTGAGGCGTTCGTCATCTCTGGCGTTTGTGACCACATACATGTCAATATTGACTCTGTATATAGCCTCAGATGGTAGTGGAGGGACCAAAGAATACCTCCAAGTGTTCAGTTTTGGATTCGCTGATGGATTTATCAAACAAAAATTGACCTAATTAGCATGGTTGAAATTGATTTTTCGCACACAAAGAGAAATGCTGGAGATTGGTTCATTTCAAGTGCTATAATTTCTGACTCAGTGGACGGATATGGCTCAAATTTCGTAAGTATGCCTTGAAAGGATGGTACTTTCCAGAAACATAATGGATTTTGTTATGGTAGCGCCCTTTCTTAGAAACGATACGAACTTTTCAGCCCGCCTGTTAAGTCCCATATTAAGTGCCAAACCCGAATAACAAGAATTTTCTGGGATATGAGCTATGCGGCATATTATAGCTTAGACTTGGACCTAAAATCGGTGAAATTTTCAAAAAAATCCATGAGATTGTTTTTGAGGTAATGGACGTTATGTGTCCGGCCGAACGGTATACTTTTTGTTTTTGGCCAATTTGGCCACTCCAACTTAAAATTTTTGGACAGCAAATGACACCATTCGATAGCTGGCTTTAATGACCTTTCCAGCGATATGCATATGTCCGGGATGTGTCAAGTGGATGTGCCTCGGTGTCCGTGGGGAGGCCGGCCACGGCCAACATGGCGACCATATCGAAAAGTGCCGGAACAAAAAAGTCTTAGCACAGAAAGTTTCAAAAAGACCAGAAACAAGTACGCAAAATCGCGGACAGACAGATATATCAAATTATGTATGAAATTCATATAAAATTTTTAAAATAATAAATTTTTCGAACGGATTAACCGATTCCGACGTTAAAGGTATTGTTGGAAAGGTATTGAGCTCTAGAATAAGAATATCGATGTTTCAGGGGTTAATGACCTCATTTAGTGCCATCTATGGTCATGAAACTGAATTTAGACCCTTTTCTTGAAAGGTCCATATTTGAAGACAGGTGGACCGATTTTCAAACTTTGATATTTTTTCTTGATTTATAGCCCAAGGGCTTTCCAACCATACATCAACCGGGGCCAACGGCCTTCTGGGTCTGGATTTCGTATATTACGTGTATATATAGCGAGTTCGACTTTTCAACACACTAATGTGGTTTCGTCACTCGCGCGAACTGCCGTCCGCTGTGATATTAAGATGCTATTAAATATTAAAATCAATCATGATACGAGTATCAACATGAGTAGTAGATATCATGATACCGAAGTTAATACGCACCATTTGCAATTTTGCATGGATTTTTATTTTTGGTTTTGTGTTATTAGAATGTCTATTGTAAACATTCATACAAGAGTGAGTGAGACAACATGAAAATAAGATTTACCAAGCACGATTTGGGTGACAGAGATGACACATTTTTTAGACCACTTGGTTGTGTTTGAGAATTGAGGAAAAATTGTATTTTTTTTTTCACTTTTTGTGCTCTATACCGAGTCTCCGAGAGTTGCCATATAAATCGCAAAAATGAAAAAAACAATTAATCTTAAAAATTAATTAAACAGAAATCTCAATTTTTCGATTTTCACACGTTGTGTCACAAATTCAAATGTTGACATTTTTGGGAGTCACAAATTAATCACTAAACTTATGCATCATTAGATTTTTTTTTTTTGCTTTTATTCAAAATTTCGCTAAGAGACTTTTGGTCCAATGGGCCTAAATAGAAAAATGGACAAAAGTGGCCGAAGGTCTATTCCATGGGCTGGAATAATGGTGTCACAAATTATCACAAATTAGTCACTAAATCCCTAAAAAGGTTTCAAGGCAATCGCAAAAATTTGCCAAGTCTGGATAGGATGAGCCACAAAAGAGACTTGAAAAAAAAACAACACTGAAGAGAAAAAAAATCCAAAATTATTGAAGTTTATTGTTGAAAAATGGCTTACACTCTCCAGCAAGTCACCGATGTAAAGAAATAAAAAAATTGTGTTTTTTTATGAGAATTTGTTTTTAAATCAATTTTTTTAAGATAATAATCAGCATTTATGCAATTTAGATTTCATTTTTCAACATGCATTTATTTTACAATTTAATTACAACTGTGAAAAGGTTATATTGATCCGGATGGTAATAAACGCGAATTCACATATGTATCTGGAAATCCGTGTGATCCCAATAATCCTGACCAGAACGAAGAAGACCCAGAAAAGGAATCGGACAAAAATGAACCTGAAAATGTGCCGGTAAATTTTCCACGCAAAATATTGCGTCCAAGTACTCAACGTCATCAAACTACTACACATCCACCAACAACTGTTTTCCAAAACCAATACACAAGCAACACCTATAATTACGAACAAGACGATGAAGACGAAAATGGTGAGAAATGTTGAGAATACTTTTTTTATTTTCCAGATTTCACTTATAGAAAATAGACCACACCGCAAAAAATTTCTGAAAATTCATTTTCTTTTGTATTACTTTTTTAACCAAAAGCTTCCGCTAGGCCGCAACATATTCCTGTTCCAAAAGAAGTTACAATTAGACAAAAATCACGAATTACAATCAATCCAACACCTGGTCCATTATATCAAATTCAAGCTCAAACCAGTGCTAAGAATAATTTTCGGAATACATTAGAGACAAATCCACCGGCAACAACATATAGACCAACTATACAGTTTTTCGCTAAAAAATCCACACCAATCACTTATTCCAAACCATTGGAGTTGACCGACAATAAGCCGATACATTTTGCCACTCTTAGAAAACCAGTTGATTTTGCAGCAGAATTTCAAAAATTCCAACATGCCAATATAGTTACATCAACTGCAACACCGCCACCAAAAACACAAAATCTCAAAACGTACCGACCACAGAACACTATCCAAAAAATTGAAGTACCGAACGCCACACCTAATCCTATTTATGAAACTAAACTCGTATTCGATCCGACAACAGGTCAAATAGAATCATCACTTTTCCCACAAAATGTAGCCTACCGAATTCCGGCAACATATGTTTCAACTCAACAGCCACAATTTCATTCATCTTCCCAAATAACTCTAGAGCAATTGCAGCAACAAAATCAGCCAGTTTTCCAAAGACATTTACAAGCATCTGCATCTCGCGCACCTCTCCAACTTCCACAATTTTCACAACAAGTAAAGACTAAATTATTTTTGTTTTTGAGAATATAAATATTAGGGTGCATCGATTTTTTATTTCTGAAAATGAAAAAAACGGCTAGTGCGGCTTTTGTAGACCTGGTCGAGAGTAACAACTTTTGTTCTGGCACTTTGGCCTACCTAAGGCTCAATTTTGGCGCGGTCGATTTGAAGTTCGACATTTTTCAAATGAATTTTTTTCAATAAATTTGTATGAAAGTGAATTGGTTTTAGTATTGTTGTAGATAGTATTAGAGGAGCTCTATAAGATAGGCTCATCACAAAAATGCACTTTTGATTTTTTAGGAAAAAAAGTTGCAACGAAATTTTTTTTCGCCCATCGATTTTCAAAAAATTCATCCAAAACATATGCTTCCGTCAATATTTTTGCTCAGAACTCATTCGTCAATCAGAGCATTGGATTTCGAACAAAATCTAAAAAATTTCGCTGAAATGTTCACACATCGACTTGAAATTTTACACGGAACTAAAATTTGATGAAAAATTACCAAAGCCAAAAAATAATTTCATTCTGTTGTTGTCTTGTCGACTAGAATTATGTTTAGTATATGTCATAGTATAACAAGTGGGCACAGTGGCTACTACGACTACTGCGGCACTATTCGATCAACTGAGTTAAGCTGCACACGCTTTGGTCAGGAGATAATTGAGTGACCGTTTAGAACATCGTATGTAGTCGTAAAATACTGTGTCAACCGTGTCTGTGTACAACAAAGGTATGGATTTCAGCACAGACACGTAAAATAGAAATCCAACGCCATATAGATTATGGCAAAATCATAAGAAATGTAGGATACAATCGGCTGATCACCGATTTATCTGAATTAATTGATCAACAGAAACCAGAAAGATAAGAATTCTTATCTCAAGGCCCTATGCTCCACTAGGAGTTAAAGGAAATAAAAAAAAAAAAAAAAAAAATATGTCAACAAAATGAAGTTTTGTTTTTTCATTCGGAACCATTACACTAAACACATCCTGTTTATATTCTGGTATTAACTAGTAATTATGATGAACCTTTAGCCACGTGTTCATAATTTTCATTTTTGTCACTTGGTTCACTTTGCTGCACCTTCAAAATGTAATCCTAGCAAAATAGCGCCCTGGAAATTATATTTTTGTCAAATTTTCCACAATTTTTTGTGTATATTGACGTTGGTTGCGGCGAGTCATGATGAATTTTGAGCAAAAATATTGATGGGAGCATATGTTTTGGATGACTTTTTTGAAAATCGATGGGCGAAAAAAAATTTCGTTGCAACTTTTTTTTCCTAAAAAATCAAAAGTGCATTTTTGTGAAGGGCCTATCTTATAGAGCTCCTCTAAAACTATCTACAACAATACTAAAACTTTCATACAAATTTATTGAAAAAAATTCATTTGAAAAATGTCGAACTTCAAATCGACCGCGCCAAAATTGAGCCTTAGGTAGGCCAAAGTGCCAGAACAAAAGTTGTTACTCTCGACCAGGTCTACAAAGGCCGCGCTAGCCGTTTTTTTCATTTTCAAAAATAAAAAATCGATAAATATATATATCTTACTATTCCATAGCTTAATGTAAACAACTACGTAACTACCTTTGTAGGTATATCATAAAGACCATGAAAATCTCCAAGTGTTGAACTCGCAGCAATTATATGCCCAACAGCAACAAATACAACATCACCAACTACAAAATGATCGTCTTGAAGCTGCCAAACGACAATCTCATATTCAGAATCAATCAAATCATAGATTTCAAATAGCAACACAAGCTCAACTGAAGCAATATCCCGGATTCTTATATCAACCTTCTTCACTTGATACTTTTCTAAGCTAAATGACATTATTACCAGAAATTTTACTCCGATATTTTTAAGGTACAGAATTTTTTTTTCATACTATACAAGTCATTTTTCTGTGTTGAATAGTGTAACATTGTAAGTTAATTTTACACTTTTGGTATACTCCATTGGCCTATCTGAATTTTTCCCCCTCTTCAATCGGAAAAAAGCCGTTTGATTGTGTTAAATTACATTACATTTAGAGCACCATATATTCCAAAAATATAGAGCACCATTAGTTGATTTTCAATAGTAAATATTTCAAACATTTCTTTTGTATTTAGTGACATTCTCTTTTCATCAATGTGCCATCGAATAATACATCAATATAGCCCCCTGGATCATATAGCACCCTACCCAATGAACAATTTGTAATACAAATTCACCCATTACCAGGCACAAATCCACGGTAAAATTTGGACCCGAATTTGTGTGTAGCTTCAGTTATTTTTACGGTTGCCATAGCGTAACATTCAGGTGTGAATACATGGAAAAGAGAAACGACAATCATTAGTATCAATTGTTTACTACCGTTGTACTGTTCTTATGAACGCACAACAATGCCACAAGATTTGTGTAACACAAATGGTGTCAAGCCTAGCTAAGCTAACTAATCGTTATAATATTTGTTTTATTTGATAATTTATGGATTCATGCTGCTGCTTGTCAGTTGACATTGTTTGGTGGTCTTCTCAACGAATCAGGCACTAGTACGCCAAACATCCGACAAAGTCCTGTGTAATTAGAAGCAAAAACATTAAATAATGAATAGACTCTATTTTCAATTGATTCATACCTTTGAGCATAATACATTTTGCAGCAACAATATCGCGGTGCCAAACAACTGTCTGTGAAGCAGCAACATCACCCTGAACATTTAAAGGCCAATTTTTGTAGGTAACATTAACCTTTGACATTAAACGCCCATTTCGAAGTATTCTCGCCACATCCTGATGATTGCCATTGCGAATTCGAAGCTTAATTTCCTTCCGTCCCTTATCCAAAGCACGTTTGCTAACCGTTGCTACAATTATATTTGGTAGACTAGCGACTGAGTCCGGTAGTCCAGCAATCGGTTTCGCTTTGCAACCGTAGCACACTTTGAATCGAAGCGGTTTTGTGTTCGCTGGAAATCGTTCTTGGCAATTTGCGCATGTTTGTGATGTTCCCCATTCATCTTCCATTTTCACCACTGAATGGCCAAGTTTCTTGACGCTCACCAAAAGTTTCCGAGATCCTGGACATCTTTTCCGTCTCTTCAAACCGAATGGCCGATTGGGTGGCATCTCCGATGCACCAAAGATAATTATTGACGGCATGTTGTTGGTCACTGTCAAGGCGATGTTATCATCTACTTGGTTCGACTTCAATGAAGTCACTTCATGTAATGATCAAAATCCAGTCGTGAATATTTGCGCGTAGCATATGCTGACATTCCTTTTCGTAGCGTTTTGATGCGATACTCAATGTACCATTTCCATGTTGAATTACGCGGTGATGGTGGACCGAATGGGTATGTCTTCAGATGATTCTTTTCCTCGATATCAAACCATCCAGCCAATTTTTTCGCTTCTTTTTCTCTTTGTTTCTGCCGAGTTTCCCAGTAGAATCGCGTGTTTGGTATTGTGATGTTTTCCTTCAAAATCATAAAAACAATTAGTTTCGATTAAAACACATTTCAAGTTAGATTTCAAAATATCTCACCTCAACGGCCGGTTCATCAGGTGTTTTTCGGATGTTGCGACGCGTTATAGCCAAGCACGTTTTTTCATTCGGATCGATGCCAATAACGTATTTCTTGCCCACAAGATTGTCCGCCTGTAAATATACATTTTCGTTGCACGCCTGCTCTAGTTTGGTGTACAGTGCCGAATTGTTTGGATCGTTTGCCCAATTGCTTGATTTTATCGACGTCGAACAACAAATTCCATAGTCCATCTCGATCATGATCTCTGTAGTATTCTTCGGGGTATTTATTCAGCCGGTTGGTATCAGTGTTCAGGAATCTGGGCACCACTTTTAGCTTACTTGCCAATTTTTTATACAAATCTCTCATATCCAAGCGCACGCACTTCAAATGATAATCGCATAACGGTAAAAGAGCAAAACTGTTTATTTTCCGTGGTCGATTGTTCGTTGGCTGTTGAAAGTTCGGATTGTTACGGAATATTTCATGAATGGTATTCCATTGTGCGGCATCACTGTGATGAGCTGCTACCTGACGTTGAATTTGTCCGAACAACCACAACGATTCAAACCAATGATCTTTTACAAAAAAATTATATATACTCAGCCATAGACTAGTGGTTAGCGTGCCAGGTTTGTGAGCATGAGGACACGAGTTCGATTCTCGGTCAAATTTCGTCCGGTATTTTTCCACCGTGATTCGTTCAAGGATTATCAGTGGTTTAATGAGGAGAAATTTGGGCCGGGTCTTGGACTTGTGGAGTGCTTCGGAGGGCACTTAAAGCCGTCGGTCCCGTGTGTGTGCACAACGAATAATGGGTTCAGCATAGACAACCGTAAAATGGAGTGCCTTTACGTTAGGTTGGTGTCTTGGATATGTCAAATATCCAATACGTCAACCGTAAAAAGGTAGTGCTGAACTATTGGTGAATATACCGGTAAATCAGTGGTGGTAGCATTCCTACATTAAATAGAGGAACCCAACGCCATCTGGAGTATGGTAGAGTTATGAGTGTTCACAACAACTGCAGTGAGTTGGGTCCTAAGTGAAGCAATGGTCTAGGCCCTGCCGAGCAGCTATGGTCACAGAAGGGCCCTGCCGAACAGCAAGGGCCGCTGAAGACCATGCTGAACAGATGGAACCCCGGCAATCTAGTAGCATCATAAATCAAACGGGCGTCTTGCAATAGGTAAATTAACCTGAGCAACGAGAAACTATGGATATTACTGAAAAGTTGACCTAGTATGCTCCCCGTACAAATCCAATAATCCAATACAAAAAATTTCATGCATTTTTCGCGTCGCCATCCAATTACGACCAGATCATCTTATAAAATGTTGGACTTTTCTATTCTTTCCACATTACCATTCGTCAAGTCGTTGGATCGATATGCTAACATTTTGGCATTTCTGATGTCGATGCCATCAAATCTCGGACCATTGGTGTTGTGATTTTAATACCAGCATCGCATTCGAAAGAATGACTCAAGTCGATCTTCACACCAAGTGGTGAGACCAGTTTTCGTATCCTTGCTTGGTCATTCGAACTGTTCATCACTGAAGTTTTCGACCATGAACCGCAACTCTGGCGGTATGGGATTTTGGCTATTATTATTGTAAACATTTTCGGCCAATACCGCATTGAAGCAATCGAAGAAGAACTGTCGACGATCCCGTCGCAAAAAGAATTGACGATCTTCATTATCGAGTGCTTCATTCACCTTGAATAAAATCAAAAGTGAAGCCAATGAGGCAACTTCCGTCATTTGAAGACTGCGCTCAAACAATATTTGCGTCACAACTGCTGCATGCTCCATTGCAACGAAATTATTTTCTTCTTCTCTTTCGTCATCGTATACCGGCGAATCGTTGTTATCTCTTTTTCTTTTCATTCTCGAAGAACTGATACAATAAAACGAAAATAAAAAAAAGACACAAATTTAAAAAAAAATGCACCAAATATAGCATAAATCACAAACACAATAAGATAAAAACACTTCTATCACAAATAAAATGAAACAGTAATGAAGAACGCATTATAAATATCACGTCTTACCTCAACAAAGTGACTCTGTATTCTAAATCGAATGATGAAATTTATTTCCAATGTGACATGAAATATTTTCCCGATCGAAATGTTGTTGGAATATTCACAGTAAATTTTATCAACACTCTGTTATTTCGAAATTGAAACAAAAATTGTGAATATATCCATTCCTTAGCGAACAGCGTTCCGAACACACAAAATCGTTGAAATTGAAATGACAATAAAATCAATTGATCGCCCAAACCACGCTACAAACACTCACATCTAATTCTCAAGAAATCCTCTTAAAAACAAAACAAAGTTTTATTGTAAACAAAATCGGTTGGTGCGATTGCAGTTTCAAACTGATGGAAGTCGTTTATACTAACAATACTGTCACACGATGCGAGCACATTTTTAATACATATAAATGAATATCTTTGGATTTGGTTTGATGTGTATACACTGAGCCCACAGCAATGAAACGAAAACAACAATAACACATATTTTTACTGTCAAAATTTTGATGTCAAAATGGTGTCGACATTGGTGACGATATTTTGAAACAGACTGTGTAATCCATATTCATCGTATATGATCCTATGTAAAGTTCTATACTTGATCTAGTTCACATTGATGGTTCAAATCGTTTATGTCCACTAGCGTGGACATGGACTGTGTGTTTCTTCTGTTACATGTACGTTGTAATGGATAAGTATAATAACATGGCGTCGTTCAAATAAATTTAAAAATCCGTCCACTCGTGTCGACACCATCTAGCACGGTAGTAGGGATTTCATTGCTGTGACCGAGCCAATCGAAAAATGTCAGTTGCATTTCGAAAATTCAAAATAATAATTCCAAATAAAGGAAATTAAATGCAATAAATGACGTATAAAAAATAGTTCTTCTGCAGAGTTTTAAATTAAATTATGCAAATCTCTTTCCTAACAAATTGTTTATTTTTTTATTCGAGCGTAAGATTTAGATTTTTAATTTAAAACTTAATGTATTGGGTTGTGTTCACATTATGTTGTCAAATGAAATATTATTGGAAGTGAAAGAAACAAGTGGATCCATTCCATTGGAATTCGTGGGAACTATGCATATAATCTCCGTTCCATTTGACACGAAAATGACCACCAGAATGGGCCAAAACGTTACATTTTTCAACGTTAGAATGTACTAAAAACATTACAAATTTGTTTTCTGTAAAGATCTTTATGTGAGTTCACAAGAGTATGCGACACCAATTCATTAAGAAAAAAATAATGGAGAAGACTCTAGGGGCTTTTATGTTCAAACGTATACTACTTTTAAGGCAAATATTGAAATATAATGCCGCATATCTAGAAAATGCGCAAATAAATGTGTATAACTGCACATATTTGGCGTATATTTCGCATATATTTCGTATATATTTCTTGTATGGCATATTTTTTCATTCTCTTTTGTGCGGTCTTCCTTCGAATGTGTGTGTACAATTGTACACTGTACAATGTCAGTACAAAATACGTATAATTCGGTGCACATTTATGCCGTATATATTCGCATTTATGATGAATAAGACGCGTATACTGTGAATATTTGTGTATATTTTGTATCATAAAAGCCCCTAGAGAAGACTAGTCTTCATAAATATGAGAAATGCAAAAAATATCAATATATAATATTGTCTGGATTTTATCAGAGCGTTTTGAAACATAATGCTCATTATCTAAAAAAAAAAAATCCTTTTTTGTTCATACAAAATTTCTAACGATGTTTGTGAAAAGAAATTCAAATAAATAACAGACAATTTATTTCAGTAAAAAGTTACAAAAAAACCCTTTCAATGTATTAGCAAACATAATTGTCAAATTCATCAAAGCACTTTAGCGAAAATAAATCTATAAAAAATATTATAGTTTTGTGTTTTTTTTTGTCACGAGAAAATAGAATGTGATGTTTGCGATACAAATACTTTTTGACACACATTAAAATATTATTATTGATATTATTTTACACATGCCCATAAGCTTCCAAATATTAATGGAGAATAGAAATTAGGTTAATAGCAGAAATATTTCCCAAAGATAACATTATTTACATTCAAATAGTACGAGGGAAAGTTAACCAATGACCAATGTGCCCCATGAAGAAAACATAAAAATATTTAAAAAAAAAATGAAGGAGAAGAGCGTGCGAATGAAAATGCTTACACTTTAAAAAGATTGTCAAATCAAAAGAAACTTTTTTAATTGAATTTGTTTATGATTTATATTGATTCTTTCATGTTATTAAAATTCAATAACAGCATTCAATAAAGTTATGATATTAAATTATCGATAACAAAAATGTTATCAATTATTTTGTTTTTATCTTGCAAGAAACTGATGAAATTTTTTGGATTTCATATACGGACGCTAGGAAGACATTTTCAACATATTTGTAAATTTATAATTGCTTGTTCATATTTTCACTAAAAACAATATAAAAAAATAATAAAAATTTTTTTCACTTCGATGGATTTTTTATTTCTCTTTTTTAGCACTACATGAAAAAACACTGATACAAGACATTGAGTTAAAATAAATGAGATACTGACTCGATTTGAAATAATTTGAAAATATACATGTATTAATTTAGTTCAACCACATTTAACTACTAATTATTCAGGAAATAACATGTACTTGGGCAAGACTCCCGTCTGAAAAGTTCCAAATGAACGACTGACTTTATCGTTTTTCTTATTAGTTGGAATTAGAAAAAAAAATATATAAATTGTTTCATTGAAAAAAGAAATTGCCGATTGAACAAATATATATTTGTAAACTAAGCAAAATACAACTCTCTTCTTTGCAACGTTGCATGTCTACGTGATTTAATATGCGTCTTACACTGGCAAGCCTGGATAGATGGCTATTTCTTGGAAAAATTCAGGATACATTGCAAGAATATCCTCTGATGACATTTCTTCATTTTCTGTTAGTGAGGATTCTTTGTCGAAACTGAAACTTTCCTTTCACTGATACAAAAATTCAATTTTTTTGTGATTTTTTCATGGAAACTGTGACAGAAATTGATTGCATCTCAAAATTAACGTCGGATTCGGTTTTCTCGTGCCAAAAAACCCCACAATACATATACCCCCAATCATCCTATAAAGTCAGATTTTGAATTAAGTTTCTACAATGAGCGCAATCTTGCTAACAAATTTTGCGTACGTATTTCATTGAATTTATAGGACGAAAATTATTGTTTTAACATAATAGATATTGAATTGAATATGTTTTTTGTAAAATATAACTGAAAAAATGAAATAATAATCAATATTTATTCCAAATTGAATGATACAAGGATGAAAGAATATATTACAAAACAATTTGTTTGATTAAAATAATATTTTATGCGATTTTATGTATCTTTTTCTTAAATGCGCTACCGGGCCTGCCCGATTAAGGGTTAAATTAAAAATCATTCTAGATTCAAAACACATTCATGGGAGAAAACTTTTATTACTCAAAAATGACAAATGTTACACAAAAGTGACGAATGTTACACAAAAATGACAAATTTTACACAAAAGTGACAAATATTACACAAAAATGACAAATTTTACATTTTTACTTTTGTGTAACATTTGTCATGTAACATTTGTCACTTTTGTGTAAAATTTGTCATTTTTGTGTAACATTTGCCGGCTGCCACACATTCATTTTTGGAAGTTTGTGACAAACTTTGTGTTACCTTTAGTTTACATTTTGTTTACATTTTGTTTACATTCTTCGATTTTTGGTAGAAAAATCAAAACATTTCAATAGAAAGTGTTCAATAGTCATTCAAATCGCTTGAAACTTCACCAGTACCTGGATTCTGATGATAAAAGATGATTACTGTTCATTTTTGTAAGATTTGCCATGAAAGTCTGGTCAATTTAAAAAAAAATCAAGTTTTTCCAAAAAATCGACTCTCGTTACTTCCAAGATCTTGCGGCACAGGTAAATGAATTCCGAATTTATTTTATATTTGGATAAAACTTTACATGCTTAATCTATGGACAAAATAGAACAAATGAAGAAAGTGAGACCATTGAAATTCCATAAAGTACGAATTCATGACAAGTCTACTCAGGAAGCTAATATCAGGCGCTGATATGGAGCGACAACAATACGTACGTGGAAGCGTAAACTTAAGTGTTCAAGCATGGTTCAGCAAGCTTCAGATTCAAATCGAGCAGCAATAGTACAGTGTGTTTTTGACGCCATGTTTTTCAATTGTGTTACCAAAAATTATGAAAAAGTTGTATTTAAACCGATATATTCATTATTTGTAAATTTACCCTGAATTTTCTGAGTATTTTTACAAAATGATATATTGACACATTTTGTAAATTTATTCCGAAAATTCAGAGTAAATTTACAAATGACATACAATACAGTGTTCGTTGGAACATAGTGCCATCTATTGAAATAATCTGAATCTACTTATACGAACTTTTTTCATGTGTCTACAAATCAAATAAAAAACCTCTATCAAGGTGAAGAACGAGTGACGAAACCAAAATTTGAAACACAAAATTTCTGATATCGATTTTGTGACGAAAATAGTTGGTAGATATATTTTCTGTGTACTGTGAATATAAACTTAATATACATTTGTATATTCGGAACGTTGCAGAAATTCTCTTCTTTTTACTTTGAGTTCATGCTGATGCAATGATTTTTATTTGATATCAATAGTTTTGTAAGCGCTATTTTCCAAGTTAAAGATTCAAGACACATGAATTTGAATATTTTTCAAATACAATGAAAATATGGATTTTTAGGTTATTTTTGGATCAAATTTATACAAATTATGGTTCATAATGAGGAACAGAGGTATTTTTCAGTGGTATGTGGTATGCATATTGTTTTATCTTTGACTTGAGGCTTAAATTGAAGAAATTTTCAGGAGAACATATGCGGTCTTTTTCGAAAAAATGCCCGTTATGTGTGTTATTCCACATGGAATTTTTAAGTCGCAATTGGCACCACTCGAGAGCTTACTTTAAGAACTTTCCAACGAATATGCATATGTCCTGGGTATGTCAAGTCTAGGTCCCACAGCGACCGTATGAAATAATGGCAATTTTTGCATGACCTTTTGCATAGTTTGCATTTATACTAACATTTTTGTAGATTTCTTTTAATTTAATTTGTGACTAACCGCATGCACCTCTCCCGACGATAGTCCACCTTCTGGCCTGGTGGTAGGGGACTTAAATTCGGTATTTTATCGATCTTATGCGAGGAAACCATCAAACATGTAGTTATTTGTTGTTAAGATTTCATATTTCATACATCTAGACATTTTTGTGAAAATTCGAATTTTGGTACATTTGGCCGATTTTTGGTGGAATAGCCATCCAAAACGGTCGATATTTTGTTCAATTTTGTTTGGCTAGTCACAGAGCATATTTACAGAGTCATTGGAGTACATTTTGGCCCATAAAATACTTCAAATGTTAAAATTAACATTTTTTGTCATTTTTGGCCATTTTTGGCCATTTTCGCACTATCAAAGGCCATATCGTGAAGACAAGAATTTTTAGGGATATAAGCTATGCGGCATTTTATAGCTTAGACTTGGGCCTTAAAATCGGTGAAATTTTCAAGTGACCATGAAAGGCTAGTTTTCGAGCTAATGACCATTATGTTTCCGGCCAACTGGTAACTTTTTGGTTTTTGGCCAATTTGGCCACTTCAACTTAAAATTTTTGGACCGCAAATGACTCCATTCGATAGCTCACTTCAAGACCTTTCCAATGATATGCATATGTCTGGGGGGGTGTCAAGTCATGGCGCTTCGGTGACCATAGGGAAAAAAGTCGAAAAGTGACTTTTGGAGGCCGGCCACGGCCAAGATGGCAACCAAATCGAAAAGTGCCGGAACAAAAAAGTCTTCGTTTTTTGTCTACTTTATTCACAGAAAGTTTGAAAAAGATCAGAAACAACTACGCAAAATTGGCCACAGACAGACAGACAGACATTTTGATTTTTCATAGGAATTCATATGAAATTTTTAAAATAATAAATTTTTCGAAGGGATTGATCGATTTCGACGGTTAGGGAGTCGTTAGAAAGGTATCGAGCTCTAGAATCCGAATATCGATGTCTCAGGGGTCGACGACCTCATTTAGGGTCATCTATGGCCGTAGAACTTAATTATGACCCTTTTCTTGAAAGGACCATATTTTGAAGACAGGTGGACCGATTTTCTTTGACATTTTTTCTTGATCTATGGCCCAAGGCCTTTCCAACCATACATCAATTGGGGCGAAAGGCCTTCTTGGTCTGGATTTCGTATATTACGTGTATATATAGCGAGTTCGACTTTTCAACACACTAATGTGGTTTCGTTGCAGAAATTCTCATATTCAAAACGTGAAAATCTACGGTTTATTCACATTGTTTTCATATTATATTCACAGAACAATCTTCCCATACCCATTAAACGTTTTTTTCTTGAACGTTTTATTTTGAAAATTCAAGCACATTTTTTCCCTTTACAGACCTTCTCTTTGTTACCTTTCAAACAAATTCACTTATTGTAAGAGTTTATATAAGACGGTTTTTGTCAAAAAAATTCCACCTAACAATGAAATTCTCACGTTTTTAGGTAGACTATTCGTTGTTTTTATGTGTTTTCTTAAGACCTAACTTAATGCATTTTCTAATACATAAAAAATACAGAAAAGCCCATATGTGGTAGGAAATAACATGTAAATATTATTTTGTGGAAATTTTACCTGTTTCTTGGCAAGGTCGTTCAAATCATTATTACATTATAGTTTGGATTAAATTATTACATTAAATTCACATAATGTTTTAAAATCGCAGTTAATGACTGTGTGTGATTATTTTTTAAAGCAATTTCAGTATGTAATAAGCAGTTTTTGTATGAACAATCGAATATGGTGGTATGATATATAAAAATAAAATGTATATTCAGATTTCAATGAGTGTGCTGAGCTCGAGAAGTAAACATAAGTGAATAAATAAAATGTGATTATTTTCATCATTTTGGATGGATTACTTGACAGAAGGTGCAGAAGAATATATATAATTTTGATGAGCTGGTTTTTCGTTTGAATCATCATTAAAATTAGTCAAAATTCAGTACGACAAAATATCGTTGCAGTGGTACTCGAAAGTGTTGGTGCTGTTGGTAACCATGTTAACGTTCTGGCTAATTCTTACGTTTGGGTTTTTATCCCAAACGAAAACGATGGCTGCAGAAACAATCCATGCAGCCATTGTTGCATCAACTTCACCTACCGTACATATTGATTCTAGTGATGCAAATGGTGATTTAGAAAGTGCTGAAACAAAAGATCCAAAGAAACAAATAAGACGTGTTAATAGTGATGGTTCATTTGTGATTGGGTATGAAACTGTTGATGGAACTTTTAAAATTGAAAGCCGTGATTTACTCGGCAATGTTAAAGGTACTTATGGCTATTTAGACGAAAATGGTGAAATAAAACGTGTTTCTTATATTGCAAATAATACAACTAATGGCTTAAAAAGAACTTCACAACCAATTAAAATACCAAACAAATCAGGAATATCATCTTCATCCACAACCCAGAGACCAATTACCTATCAAGGAAGCGCAACCCAATCCATTCGTTCTCATTCAAATATAATTCAACCATTAAGAAAACAATCATATTCATCTTCTCATAGGAGAATAGATCATACAATAAAATTGCAGAAATCTGAACCTTCTACTTTAGTTTATGCCACTTCAGTTCAATCAACCAATATACCAAGCACCATTTCTTCCAATCCGGAACCAACTTCTCAGTTAAAAGAAGAAGATTTTACGAAGGAATCAAAGATGAATAAAAGTTATAAATTTTCGAATGTCTCGAATGGAAAATCAGAACGCAAACAAATCCAAGGAAATTTGCTCAGACGTCAATTACCAAACGATCAAAGTGAAAATTTCGAAACCAAACCACAAATTATCTATGGTCAATCATCTGATGAAGATTTAACTGGTACTCAACGTCCATTATTCAGCACTACAAATTCTCCTCGCATTCCAGCAATAGTTATCGCAGCCAGAGAGAGACAGAGAGACTTAAGAGACAGAGTTTCTATATTGAAGAATATGAAAAACATTGTTTTACAACCTACACCTACCAATGAAAAGCCAATTCAGTTCCGAACAAAAACTGATGACAATCTAGAAAATGAATACTTTACACAAAGTCCGGTTCCAGTTCAAATACCAACTACCAGAGAAATTGTTCAAAAGGAAAAAATTGTCAAATATCGCAATCCAATATCACATTTTATGAAAACGAGCAAATCATCAAGTGAATTAGAAAACGCCAGTGGTCCAAAACAATATAAACTACCTGTATCAACAAAACTATTGCAACGTGAAGTAGAAAGTGAACAATATTTGCGTGAAACTTCAGCCTCTAATGCGAAAGATTCATCACTTGAGCAGTATACAAATAGTAACGAAAATGCTGCAACTCATCCTTTCTCACAATCAATAAATCCTTATTCTCAAATATCGCGAACAGTTGATGACCAACGCCCTCAACAGGTACATTTTTTGAACTCTCAAAAATTATATTTCATTTGACAATATTTTTTTTAATCTATTTTCATGTAGCAATTTTCATTTCCAATGCAACCATATCAAGCACTATCTCCACAATTGTCCAACTATATTGAAAGACCATTAACAGCAAGAGATTTTGAACGTTTACTCAATATTCTGGCAATTCGATTCCAACAACATCAACATATTGGTTATTCACAAGATGTGTTCACAAATGGTCTCAATGGCTTTAGAAATTATTATTCAGGATATAATCCTTATCAAATATTTCGTTCACCACTTTACAATCAATTCGATCCACGGTATACTGCTTTCAGTCGTACGCTTCCACCACTTCCACCACCTCCATGGGCTCCATACTCTGAACAAGAAAACATGTATCAAGCCCAAAATCCAAAGCAATATTACAGCACTGGCTATGACAGAACTGACGCGAATGATTTGTCAAATCAAAAATTTTCAAATCAAAATGGTGATTATCTTCCATCTAATGTTCGTGAAGAGCTATTGTATCGTATGTTAATGCTCGCTATACAACCAGATTTCACTCCGTCAATACCATTTTCTGACGCAAGTACAATTCATGAATACTTTAAATCAAAAATGCTTAGTAGTAGTACACCTTTGTCAGACACAAATTCAAAGAAACCCGTGCGAAGTGTTCAGATTTTAGGAGATGAATAATTAATTCTTTTCTTTACGCAAAAAAAATACATATATTAATATCATATCTTTATGATTTAACTGTAAATAATGTAGCCCAATTTTTTATATATTTTTAATTAGAATTTTTTTCATGCAAATGTGCATTGAAAAACTAATTTTCAGAAACAATATTATGTGAATCGATTACATAATAAATGTTGCTCATTAAAAAAACTGAAAAGTATTGTTATTATACAGTATGATCATTTTCTTTACATAATGAGTTACTATTTTCTTCAATGAGAGTTGTTTCAAATGAAGGTAAGTCAACAAATCCATTGTTTGTAAAATATTTAAATTACTAATACCAAACAACACCAAGAATAAACATTTCATTTAAACATGTTAACACATGTCTGGTTAACACATGTATGGTAATATATGTCTATTTTTATGAAAATCAAAATTGGAATGAATTCAATTTTATTATTCAATAAGTGAAAAAATGAATATGTAGGTAGTTATTGTATTGTGTTCAATTTCGGTATAGAAGTGTGTGAAGGATGTATTTACTTAAACATAAGAGGAATGATGAAATTTCATTTAGATGTCCTCTAAAATAGATCAAGAATAATTAATTTATGTGCTAGAATACGGGACAAATGTCTGTGCACGCATGAATCTGAATATTCAAATAATTTATAATGTTTTCATAACAAAATTATTTATAAACGAGAAACCGTTCGTTCCCCTTATTAATAAGCTTGCCAATTTATGTTTTGTTAACATTTTTAAAGTTTCCATCATATTACTTACAAAGCGCTACATGAATTGTAGAGTAGGGTGTTTCATTAGATTTTGAGCCACTCTGGTTGATGGACAAAAAGAATTTGTTGCGTGTTCTTCGTATGAAGAGTATACAATTAATTTTATTATTTGTCAATTGATGGCAATACTCGTAACTCAAATAAAAAAAAAAATACTTGAGATAATTTCTTTAAATTCATTTTGTTAATTGTCATTTTACGGAGCAAAACATGCAATGCGAAACAGAAACTGCTGTGACAAGAAACGATACATATACATCAGTAAAACATATATCTTACATTAGTCTAATTGCTTTTATTTCTTTTAATTGCTCAAAAAAAATGGTCACCACCTCAACTTAGAAATTTTCCGCACTATGACACAACCTAGTAATAGGAAAAATCCATATTTCACACCAAATTTGAATGCTCGATTACTAAAGCTTGCACTCTGTGGTGGTACTGATAGTATTTTGGCTAATGTTGATTCATCAAGCATTCCCTAAAAGAGAATCACAAAAGAAAACAAAAAAAATAATAAACATATAAGGGAAGTTATTTTACACTAAGAGAGTTCCATTGTGATGCACAAGACATTGTGGTGTACTTTTTTCAATATGACAGTCCACGATCGAAATTCTTAAGTACATCAATTCTTGATTGTCCAGTTATCTTAAATTAATTTGGCACATAATGTAACTTTCTAATATCTAAAGTTTTGACTTAAAAATTCGATTTTTTTTACTTGAACTCAAGTTTTCATTGAAATGAAATGTCTTTTTTACAATTTTAAAATAACATACAAAGAAGCGATAAGATTACTGTTTAAAACGATAAAAAAATAAAATTTACGTTAGTTGGCGCTACATTGTATGTAATGAGCGTATACTTTCCATTTAGTCCGTGGCAATGGAAAACAAGTTTGCATAGAATGCAGAACTATATGTGAATTTTATTTTTTATCGTTTTAGGCAATAATTAATCGTGTTGCATCATTTTGCTTCTTAAATTTGATATTCTATAAGACATCACTATTCTTAGGTAGCTGAGGGACAAACTTAGGAATTTCGATCGTGCACTGTGGTTGCAATAAAATAACAATAATAACCTTTTTCCAATTACCTAGAGTTGATCAGGAGAAAAGAAAGCAATAAGTAATGTAACAGAATGGAAAATGAGATTATAATAGAAATTATATAGTTTAATCTAAAAATCAATGACCACAACAACATTGCTTTAATGTGAGATTTGGTAGTAGCAGTAAAACACGGGAGACTGCTGAAATGGCAAACGCCAAATATATACGGACCTACGGCAGTGCCATTTCAGCGGTCTTCCGTGTTTTTCATACAAGCCTCCCATATACAGTCTGTCCCATAGTAGAGGCCGCTTGATTTAACCACAAAAAGTTTCAAATATCTTGAAAATATTTTTGGTGTCGCCAGATGGCACCATAAGCTGATGCGCCAATTAACATTGACAGTTCTCAAATCACTACAGTGTTTGTTGTGCAACGAAAACATGGATTCGGAATATTTTCATAAGCGTTTTGAAGCGGTGTTTTTGCATTTACATCCAAAAGGACCAAGAATGTCAATCGCATCAAATGCTAAATACATTAAAAAGTCAAAACGGTTCGTCAAGCACTGGATTGACCATTATAACAGTGAAAGAAATGTGAACGATCAGCCCAATGTGAAGCCAAACCGAGCCACCTCGCCAAAGCAAGATAAACGGATAGTCAGGTTGTTCGATGAAAATCCAGGTATGACGTTGCGCCAAGGCGTTGAACGACTACGGTGTCTTAATATAGACGTCTCGAAGACCACGCTCAAAAGAAGATTGGATATCGCCGGTGTTCATTATCGCAGTACAGTGAAGAAATCACTTTTGACAGAAAACCAGAAGAAAAACGCATTGACTGGGCAAACCAAAATTCAACAAGAGATTGGAGCGAAGTTATATACACTGACGAGTCATTCTTTTGGCTGGTCGTTCGCCGAAAAGAGAGTGGTCGTTCGCACTGTAAAGCATCCGAAAAAGGTCCATGTTTATGGTTGCTTCTGTGAAGCTGGTTTTGGATAGTTGACCGTATTCACGGGCATTCTAAATGCCGTGAGGATGAACCAAATTTATTCGTCGACACTGTTACCCACCGCCAAGAAGTTCTATGGCAACGACAATTCAAATTGGCTTCTATTAGAAGACAACGATCCAAAAAACAAAAGTCGTCTCTGCACCGCTTGGAAAGAGGAAAATGGAATAAAACAAATTGAGTGGCCGCCACAGTCACCTGATTGCAATCCAATCGAAAAATATTGGGCCATTATTAAGGCAAGGCTCCGTGGTAAAACACACCGCAATTTGAAGCAGCTCAGTTCATTCATTCAACGCCAGTGGAAATGTTTTCAACGTGAATATGCTGAAAATTTGAGCAAAAGTATGCCGAAAAGATGTGCCGTGTAATCGAAAAGGATGGTGAATGGATTAAATATTGATTATTGGCGTTGTAGCTTAGAAACTCGAATAATTTTGTAAAACTTTTGAGTTTTAATATGAAAAATCAAGCGGCCTCTACTATGGGACAGACTGTAGATGGTAAAAAATCGCGAAAAATGAAAAAAATAATTAAATTTTTTTTTTCAATTCTCAAATACTACTCAATTTTCTGTATCACCTGGTGAAATCAGAATGAAAAGAATCGCATTCCATATCATCTAAATCACGATCTGGACTTTTTTCACTGTTTGAGTGCTCTATACCGAGTCTCCGAGAGTTTCATATAAACTTTCTATTTGATGCCTATTGAATAGTAAGCGAATACCAATCGTTATTGAATCAATAGGCGTCATTTGGCTGTTTCAAGGCGAGTTTATATGAAACTCTCGGAGACTCGGTATAGAGCACTCAAACAGTGAAAAAAGTCCAGATGGTGATTTAGATGATATGGAATGCGATTTTTTTCATTCTGATTTCACCAGGTGATACAGAAAATTGAGTAGTATTTGAGAATTGAAGAAAAATTTTTTATTATTTTTTCCATTTTTCGCGATTTTTCACCATCTACATGGGATGCTTGTATGAAAAACACGGAAGACCGCTAAAATGGCAAACGCCAAATATATACGGACCTACGACAGTGCCATTTCAGCGGTCTTCCGTGTTTTTCATACAAGCATCCCATGTAGATGGTGAAAAATCGCGAAAAATGGAAAAAATTATTAAATTTTTTTTCTTTGATTTACAAATACTACTCAATTTTCTGTATCACCTGGTGAAATCAGAATGAAACAAATCGCATTCCATATCATCCAAATCACGATCTGGACTTTTTTCACTGTTTGAGTGCTCTAAACCGAGTCTACGAGAGTTTCATATAAACTTGCTATGTGATGCCTATTGAAAAGTAAGCGAATACCAATCGTGATTGAATCAATAGGCGTCATTTGGCTATTGAAAGGCGAGAGAAAGTTGCAACTGTGAAAATTTTAATGAAATTTCTATTAACATTCTAATAAAAAATCTACTAAGATTCTAATAAAAAATCTACTAAGACCTAATAATTAGTAGTTGTTAGTAGCTAGTAAAATAATAATTATTACTTCTACTAAGAACTACTAAGTAATAAAATAATAAAAACGATGAAACTAATAAAGTAATAAAAATTCTACTAATTAGTAGAAAAATTAACACCTATGTTCCAAATCGTTTGAAACTTCACAAGTGGTAAGTGTTTAGATGGAAAATGACGATTACTATCAATTTTTAGTCGGTTGAGCGAAGATATATTAAAGTTAATTTTTTTAGCTTAAATGAATTTTTTTCTTTCTCACAAAAAATCAATCAATGCGGTGCTATGGAATTCTTATTCGAACGTCAAAACTAAAATAATCTTTCTGCGCGAACGAATAAAACACACAGAATCACACAATCGATGTCAACGCAGTGGTTAAACACAATATTCAAATCAATTCACCAGAATGTGTGTCTCTCTCTATCTTTGTGTGTGTGTGTTTCTGCTGTCGTGTGTCCGTCCATTTGCTGCACAATGTTGTCGTTATGACGTTGATCCGATGCTGTTACACTGGCTGTGTGTAACAGCCGGCTCATCTCTCTACTACATATCAAATCTCAATGTTTGTAAGCAATGTATTCCTTTCCTATGTGTGTGCGTTTGTGTGTGGTCAAAATAGATAGTTTCCTACATTCTAAAAGTTTCCCAATCATCACTCACTCACTCACTCAGTCATTCATTCGGCCAATACACACACACTATCCAATTACTTTCAATCCCAGCAATGTGCCCTATGCCAACAACTGCAACAACCTTAGTTGGCTTTGGTTTTCCGTCGGATTCAAGTAGCTAGCAAGAATTACAAAAGAACAAAATTTAAAATTGTAGAAATGAGGAGACAACTCGAATTATTGGGGGTGCAACTTAAAAACCAGGTTTATTTATTAACCAGAAGGTTTATTTAAAGGAACATGTAAAATATATTTTATTCAAAGTACTGTCCATCGTTAGCCACTACTTTTTCCCATTTTTTGGAAATTTTCGGATTCCATGTCTAAAGGACTATTAGTTTTTTTCAGGTATCTAATTACAGAGTCATTTTTCGACTTTTTTAAAGTTTGCACATAATTGATCAGAAACGGTGCACTGCACCCATTGAAATGAGTGGTATTTAGAAAGAGAGATGTCCAGTGAGTACAGCGGGGGTATAAAGATTTTGTATCGATCTATTTTTCAAACAATTTTTAATGATTTTGCAAAAGTGGAAGAATTCACTTTTTTAAAAATTTAGATAATTGAATTTTTCTTCAATTTTCTTGTAATTTTTCTGTAACATTTCAACCAAAAACGATCAGTCGACATCAATAAAGGTCATCTGTAACAATTTTGACCAGTTGTAATTCGATCAAGTTTGATTACGTCACCCAATTGGCGGAATCACGAATATTTGTATTTCATTTTTGTTATTCAGCTCAACTTACATATGGTTTTTTATGCTTGAAATTCTTGAAATAGATCCCTCCTTTACAATCAATCTCAATTCAATACGAAAATGAATCCATTTGTAAATTTAGAGCGATGTTCAATTAGTCTTATACTGCCATTCAACCAAATTTTCCTTCAGTTCAAATTCGCTACAATTTTCACCACTTTAACGATATGTAAATATTTGGTATCAATCGCATTGTTCATATTTAGTCAATCCACAACTTTTAGATGCATTTAACATGACTTTTTAGCAAAAATGAGTGAAATAATTCAACTTGAATTTTTATGGTGAATTTGGAGTTTTACACCAAATTCACCACTCAGTGTTAACCAAACTCAACATTTTTGTGTTGGAATCGACAGATCTTGTTAATCTCAATGCAACATAACGTTCAGATGCATTTGTGATTGGATTAAAGAGAAAAAAATTAAATTCCCGCAAATGCTGTATTTTTCTCGAATTATTAAAACTTTCCATGGTTGAAAAAAAAAATGTTGCGCAGAAGATAAAATATTTGTTTTTGCTGTTTTGACAGCTATTGAATGACACTTCCAAATGACATATATTTCATTGATATACTACGACACAATTACAAGTGGTGACATCTAGCATCAAATTCCGGTTTTTAAGTTGCACCCCCAATATGTAAATTATCAAATTTAGTTATCAATCAAATACCTGAGGCATCGCAGCGACGTGTAATGAATGACATAAATAAATATCGCGTTCAGTAACAAAAACATCACGGAATACTGGATATTCATCTGCCATTTGTTCCAATAATTCTTCAAGTAAATCCTTCTGTTTGCATTGCTCCACTTCCTCCTTTGTTATGGTTTTGTTGGAAAATATTAACTTGAAAACAATTTTCATCGTCTGCCAAAGTGTTAAACTATTAAATGCTCTTTGTAAAGTTATATTTATAGATCGATCCCCAAGATGCAAGATAGGTGATGGTAAACATTTCATTTCTTCTATTGCACGACGAAACTCTCCCTGGGGTGGATAAATCAGAGATGAAAAATTACTGGTAACATTTCTATCATACTATATGAAATTGTTCTAGAGGAAAAAAACAAATTGAATTTTTGTATAGCAGCCATGGACTATTTTTTACACAAAAAAATAACGTTTTGAAAGTTTGAGGAGATTTGGCTCAAAAACGAATATTTTGTATGGGAGGTACTCTTAATTTTCGTTGAAATGTCTCCAAATCCTCCGAATGTAATTTTTTTTTGTGAAAGAATAACAGTGCAAATTTTCACGTCATTAAGGTAGCATACAGGCATGGCTCCCGTACAAAAAATTTTTGTGACTGTTTGGACCGAAGGAACGCTGTTTGGTGCAGTTATTATTATCAAATAAAAAACCTCTATCGAGGTGAAGAACGAGTGACGAAACCAAAATTCGAAACACAAAATTTCTGATATCAATTTTGTGATGAAAAAGTTGGTAGATATATTCTCTGTGTACTGTGAACATAAACTTAATATCCTTCTGGGTCTGGATTTCGTATATTTCGTGTATATATAGCGAGTTCGACTTTTTGTGGTTTCATCACTCGCGCGAACTGCCGTCCGCTGTGATTATCAAAAATAATTTTTATGGCAAAACTATAGTCAGACATATTTTTTTATAGTGTTTTGTTATTTGTATCGCTAAAGTGTGAAAAATCTTTTACGAGTACTTCTGCTATTAAATTAAAGAATATTTCGATTTGAACATATTGACCCAAAGAAGTGGGGACAATCTTTTTGAGAAATTGTTTTGATTTTTTGAAGAAGAAAATGAATGAAAACATTGGTGCAATTCGTTTTGAATAGATTTAGTGACCATACATACTGCAAATTCACCGTAACTTTCATTCCACTTCGTCACATAAGCAATTTGAAGTAGATCTAGATAGCTAGGAAATGAACGCCTGAATTTACTCTCAAGACTTTTGGGCCATATCTTAATTGGAAATTTTTCCTTTCTTTTCTAAAAACATTGTCAAATCTATATGGTTGTCTCTGTCACTCCCATGAAAATTAACATTTGAGTTTGACAGCTGGCGAACTTTTTGACATTTTTCTTTCCAAAAAGAATTGAAAATGCAGAAGAATTTGTCGAACGATATAAGTACAAAACACTTCTTTGGAAGTTCCGACTGTAACGCAATCCTCAAACCCAAACTCAAGGGGAAAAGGAGGGCAGCCATTTTAGTCAAAAAAGGTGCTTCTCAAAGAGCATATGGTCCCGAACCCTTTCTACCTTGGAACGAAAGGAAATGTAGGAACATATGTAACAAATGGTTACAGGAACGTATTATCATACGATGGCGTAACACAAATACATGCTCGACAACTAGA